AAATAATGGATTTGCAGTAATACAAACATTGCCCCCTTTTCTCTGTTGTTGGTGCATGTATGTGGAAAATGTCGTTCTTTTTTTGTTGTTGTTGTTGAGTTGGAGTCTCACTCTGTTGCCCAGACTGGAGTGCAGTGACTGCTCCCGGCCACCGCAGCCTCAACCTGCTGGGCTCCGGGATCCTTCCGCCTCCGCCTTCCAAGTAGCTGGAACTACAGGCGCGCGCTACCATGCCCGGCTACTTTTTTGATTTATCGTAGAGATGAGGTCTTGCCAAGTTGTCCAGGTGGGTCTCGAACCCACAGGCCCAGGTAATCCACTCACCTCAGCCTCCCAAGGCGCAGGATTACAGGCTGAGCCCCGAGCCTGGCTTGTTATTTTTCATTAAATACTTTAATTAGAATATTTATGTTAAATAAAGGGATTCTTTTTTATTTTATTTTTATTTTTTGAAAGTAGGATTTAAGAGGAGAGGAAAGCTCCCACAGTGGGAGGACCCCGAAGGAGTTGGCCTCTTTTTTATTTTTAATAAATTAATACAAATATTTTTAAACTTTCTTTTGGGGATCCCCTCAGTATTTTAAAGATCATATAGGGGTCTTGAGACCAAAAAGTTTGAGAACTTCTATTCTAGAGCATGTACTCTGAAGCCAAAATATTGGTTTGAAATCTCATGCCTACTTACTGTCTGTGTGATCTTGGACAACTTTCTTGCCCTCTCTGTGTCTTAGAATTCTCATGTGTAAAATGTTCATAACAATAACTGCTATGATAAGTACCATTTAGGTGTTAGCTATTGGCCACATCATTATTATACCATCATTGTCATTGTCATTATCATCTTATTACTAGTATTATTGAAGGAAGACACAGGTTTTTTAAGAGCACAGAATCAGAGGTAGATTCAGTGGAACTGGAATTTTTTCCTCTCAAGCCAGGTTCTACCTAACCTCCCACTCTCTTGTCTGCCATCTCAACATTTGTAGTCTAGGGAAGAAGGGAAAAAGGGATGAGATATTTCCCACAGCTGAAGCACACATTGCCAGAGGTATTGAATCAAACCACTGAAAAAAGGATAAGCAGCCAGGTTTAAATGAAGAAGCACCTTATATCCATATTACTTTCCTTATCAAATGTTCACTTGGCAAAAAAAAAAAAGAAGAAGAACCAGATTCTTTGTCTGACATTCAAGTTCAGTGCGCACCTGCTGCCTGCCATCCAGCGGTTTTGCAGCTGCCCGTATGGAAAGGCAGACTGTCCCAGAAGGAGCAGGACCCATAGGACCAAGAAGGCGAAGGGACTGCCTGACACACAGGGCTAGTTAGTGGCAGGACTGTCACTCGCATCCCGTGTGTGAGTTTCCTCTACACCATGCCTTCTTGCCAGGATGCCCGGGTTTCTCTGAAAGGAATGACGAGGCCAGAATCTACAATGGTCACACCAAGCACTGGCTATAGAAAGGAGAGTGGGTCTCCTAGCCTGGCCCATAAGGCTGCTACAGAAGGATCCAGCTGGTGCTGGGAAGACAGTGGATCATGGTCAGGGGCTTATCAACAACAGGAAAGAGAGCAGGCAGTCAGTGATACAGACATGCTTTTTAAAAAAAATTCCAGTCACAGAAGGTTTTCACGTTGTTTAGGCAAAACACTGTCCTGATGCTTCTGATCTTCGCCAAACCGAGGACCAGACCATTTGCTAGTTCTGCTTACTAAGTGAGCAGCTACGGATGGCAAACAAATCTGAGCCTCCTTCTTTGTCAGGGAGGAGTTAAAACAAATGCCCTTTTTGCGGCAAGGCTCCTTTGTTCAGTAAACAATTTCCTTTGTTCTCTCTGAAAACACTGCTTGGGCCAGGTGCTATGCTGATTTCAAGGTGCCCTGTAACCCGCATTTTTGTTGTTAGATAGATTTAATATAGAGCTGATCAGGTGAAGTGAGGTACTTGGCCTCTGGAGGGAGATGGGAACACCAGCCAGTACCCATGGCTGAAGCTTGAATCCCTTAACCAGGCAGTCCTGGCTGGGGTTAGGGGAAGAGCACGGCCCTGTGGGTATATGTGTGTCCAGGGCACACCGTTGTTTAGGGAATAAATTCCAACTCTGTGCCCAGCCCTAAATGGGGCTCAAGCTACCAGAGTCAGGTGGTGCAAAAAGTGAGTTGTAAGTTGGACCTCAGTTTAGCCTCAAGGCCTAGGGCAAGTCACTTAACCTCTCGAATCCTAGGTTTCTTCATTGTAAAACAGTGGTAACAACTTCTCCCTTGCAGGGTGACTGTACAGGTAACTACCAAAGTAAAGCCCTGCTTGTGACAGGATTTCAAAATAGAATAGCTTATTATTGGTGCTGTATCAGCCAGCTACCTCAGTTGGACTTTGTGCAGGGGGTTGGCTGAGCCTGGGGAGTGACAGCCGTGAGTGACGGAATCTTCAGCCAGTTGACTGCCATGCCCATGTGGCAAGTTGGCTAACCCAAGATATGATTTCCTCATCTGCAGCTGGAGATCATGGCAATTAATATGCCTTTTCTACTTCCCCAGATTGTCAGAGGATAAACGGAGACAGACTATGAAAACATTTCATAACCCCAAAAGCATTATACAGAAGTTATTATTATAAAAAAATAGTAACAATGTTAATAATATATGGGAGTGCTTACTTTTTGCTAAATGCTGGTTTAAGTATTTCACAGGTGTCACCCAACTTAATTTTAATTCTCGATAGTTTTCTCAGGAGGAAGTCTGTTTATTATTCCTATTTTTCAGTTGGTTAAACTGAGGTATGTAGAGGTTAAGTAATTGACCCAAGGTCACATGATTAGGCAAGGGGCTGACCAGCCAATCAAATTCCAGAACCTGCCCAATCACTCTGCTTATGGTGGTGTTGTGATGTGATTGCTATTTCTAAATATCTCTCTACAGAGGGTGCATAGTTATCCATTCTCAAGGTATCAGATGGGGCTCTCATAAAGCCATCTGCTTGCTAATTAGTCGCTATACTATCTGGGCATACAGCAAACGTTTTGGGAACACATGTGTTTATGTCCGTGAGCACACAAATTCACTGATTGAGTATTGATGCATATAGATTATAGAAACATGCCCAAAGATAGAGGTCAATATAGAAATATAAGGAAGCAGAGCATTAGCAAGATTGTTTATGGGCTCATGATTCCATTTGAAGGATAATTATTCATTGGTTTAAGTGAGATGAAAAGTGTCATTGTGGTAACACAAGTGATGGTCACGTATAATCTCTTTTCTACTGCACATGTGTGATAAATGCTATTCATATGCATGACACACTCCTGTGGGGGTGTCCAGGCATTAGCAACACCCCTCCCTGATTTTGTTTTTTGTGGAAAATTAAAACAAATAATGAATCAGTTATTTTTTAGCATTTATGAACTCATTTTACAGGCATTTGGTCAATTAAATTACCCAGTTGAATAGCTTTTTTTAAAAAAGGTTATTTTTCAATCAAGTTCCATTAAATTCAGCTTGTTTACTGTGCTCTACCTGTGCTAATCTAGTAGCCACCAGCCACATGTGGCTATTAGATTTAAACTTAAGAATTCAGATTTTCAGTTGCTCTAGTCGTATTTCATGAGCCTCAATAAGCCATCTATGACTCGTAGTTACCAATTGGGCAATGCAGATTATAGCAATTTTAACATTGCGAAAAGTTCTGTTGGCCATGAGTGTGCACTGAGGATGCAGTGATGACCAAAACATTCCCATGTCTGCCCTTAAGGGACTCATATCCCTGATGACGGCTGCCAAATAAGCCATCCCAGGTTTGGAACGAGGGAAAGACATCGGGCAATAAGAGGGCATGGTGAGGGACCCACCCAAGGGTGGGTGGTCAGGAAAAATAAAACCAAAGAAAACTCCATACACAGAAATAACAGAGCAATTTTTTTAAAGGAACTTAATTTTTTTAATTAAATTAATTACTTTCTCTGCAACTGGATTCCACAGCTAATATCAGTGTGATATTTAAACATAATTTATTGAAGAATAAGCTCAGATAAAACTGATTCCATTATCGAAATTTGTAATGCAATAAATCTTAAAAGAAGCCAAATGCAAAATGCCCAGGCTGCATGGTTCCATTTATATGAGGTTCTGGAACAAGCCGAATGAATCTATGTTGACAGAAATCAGAACAGCAGCTGCCTAGGGCTGAGGTGGGAGGGAGTGGCTGGGAGCAGGGGCTGACTACAAAGGACTAGGGAGGGTGCTTCCAAGGTGTTGATGTTCTATCAAGATAGGGCATTGGTTACATGAGTGTATGCATTTCTCAATATTCTGGCATGGTATCACTAAGATCTGTATATCGCACAGTACTGGGTATTGAATTGAGTTTCTCTCTATGTAATCGAAAGAATGACATAGGGTGACACATTATGGTTGGTATGAGTATCACCGTAGAAATGTCACTGCCCTGTCACTTTGCCTGCCTCTGACCTGGCCTTCACAACCTTGATGTCCTCACTATCCAGAAGGTTTTAGACATCCTCCCCGATCTTGTGCCACAGGAATATAAATGTGTTGCTTCTGCTTTTCCAGTTTGTGATGTCTTTCGTATCAAAAGTGGACAGGCTGGAGGGATGTTGGCCCGAATGTTATGACTTGTGTTATTTTGAGGTGAACTTTTCTGTTTTTCCCTTCTTTGCTATTTTTATAACAAGGCGCTTATATTGTTTTTATCATCTGAAGCACAAAAGCTCATTTTGCCTCGGCTTAGGATATACATTCATCCACGGGTTCTGTGGAGTCATTTGGAAACTTTGGCTTTCATCCTCTGATGCGTGGCAAGCTTCCTTCTAAGCAGCAAGCCCTTAGTACTCACGGGGTCTTGGTGAATGGCGTCATTCAGTGCCTGGTCTGTCTCACGTGGCTCTCCTGCTCTGCCTGGGATCCTGAGGGCATGCTGGACTGGGCTTGGGTGGGCCAAGGTGCTACCTGCCCCTCTCACCTGCCTCCTTCCTCCTGTGCTCACAGATTCCTACCTGACCCTGGAAGAGCCAATGAATAACATCACCACGTCCCTGGGCCAGACCGCAGAACTGCACTGCAAAGTCTCTGGGAATCCACCTCCCACCATCCGCTGGTTCAAAAATGACGCGCCTGTGGTCCAGGAGCCCCGGAGAATTTCCTTTCGGGCCACCAACTACGGCTCTCGGCTGCGGATCAGAAACCTTGACACCACGGACACGGGCTACTTCCAGTGCGTGGCAACCAATGGCAAGAAGGTGGTTTCTACCACGGGAGTCTTGTTTGTCAAGTTTGGTAAGCAGCCTCGTCCTGGGGATGGCCTTCGACCCTCAGCCCAAGGCGGCAGAATGACTAGAGTCCACAGGGACGAGGAAGGAGGGAATTATCACATACTGAGCATGTACTTTGTGCCCACCGCCCTAAAGCTGCTCCAATTGTACCCATTTTACAAATAAATAAACTGAGGCCCAGCAGTTAATGACCATGTTGCCCAGCTCGTCAACAGCAGAGTGGAAATGGAGTCCAGATCTTTCTGACCTCGCAGCCCCTATCGAAGCCACCTTGTCCAGGGAAAACGGGAGTACTTGCTGCAGGCATATCTCTTTTCTGTCTGGCTGCCATCAGACTGGAAGGAAGCCCCACTTTCTGTTGTCATTAATACCCTCAGACCATCACTCAGGCTCCTGTTGGAAACTCCCTGCGTAGTTTGAGGATGCCTGCTCTGTTGACTCATTTTTTAGCAGTCTGAGCGTTTTTCAGACTCTGAACTGTGAAATACAGACACATTCTCACTGGCATGCTTTTTCATAGAGGAGGCTGGGGGGAACTGGAGCAAAACACTGAATTCCAGAAAAATAAATAAATATCACCTCTGGGTGGCTGGGAACTTTAATTTGTAATGGTTTCACTGTACCCATGCTCCCCCTTCAGTAACCCAAACTGATTGTTTCTTTTTTTTTTTCTTCCATTTCTTCAGGCCCTCCTCCCACTGCAAGTCCAGGATACTCGTGAGTACTTTGTGTCTCCTTACTTATCATTTCTAAGTACTTCTTCATAGTTTTCCCCCGGAAAAAGGCAATGTTGTCCTCTGCTTGGGCCTAAACAATGTGTTTCCAGATGTCATTCAGTTTCGCCCTGTCCTCATTCCAGCTTGCTTTTCCTCTGCTGTTAAAATTTACAGGAGACCATCATTGGCAGAAATCTCAAACACTAATGTGGATTCTGAATGATCAGAGCAAAAATCTTCCTCCATTTACTGTTTTAGAAGGAATCTAACATTTAGTGGCAATAATGAATTTGGTAAAAATCAAACTAACATTGATAGAATGCTGGCATAGAAACGTTTACTTTCACTTAGCTAAAAGGGTGCGTTCTACATTTCTGCAAGCATTTCTGATGCTTTAGTTATTGACCGGGGCAACAATTAGGTAATCACGTTGTTTTCTATTCCCTGTAAGAAACTCAGAGGCAGAAGCTCTAACTTACATTGTGGAGGAAAGCCCCAAGCGTGAATTGGGAGTCTGTGGAAGTTTGATTCATTTCAAGTCCCTTGTTAGTGGAGTTCAAAGATCCAAATTGTTTCACTGTTACTATTGTGGATGCATTTGGCCTTTTTTCTAGCTGAGCGATTCTCATCTTTTACTCTAAGAGTATCCACTTGAGAAATTTTTCTTCATGTATGTCTTTATTTTGTGGGGCTGGGAGGGGAAGACACATTTATTAAAACTCTGGCTCTGTGAGAAAGTGCCCTCCCTACTCTGTAGACTTCTGAAGTTTGCTTCATTTTTTTTTTTCACAAGAGCATCAAAATATCTGACCTAGACTACACCCATGGCAAATATAACAGCCACATAATTTGTTCCAATCCCCTCTGTGCCACTTAATTACAGTGTGGGGTATTTTAATACATTTGTGTGTGCCTGGAGGCCCAGTAGCCCACAATCCCATTAGTAAAATAGGTAATGGGTAAAAATAAACATTGGCCTGCAGCCACGCTGATCTGCTGTTTCATCAGCCAGTTAAAGGCAACTGTAAGAGTCTTTAAAATCACCCAAGTGCTAATTGCATTCTCCTTGCCCGGGTAGAAAATGCTGATCGATCTTTAAACAGGTCAGAAGTTTGGTTTGCTCAGCCTTGCATTTCTTGAAGCTAATCTTTATTTATTTATTTATTTTTTAAGGGTCTCATCATTGGTTATATGTGGAATCCTTTTGAAGTCTTATTTAAACAAAGATTAAGACTTTGGTTACTTGTAAAAATGCCTCCCGCACTGGTACTTTATTTGTTTCTGTTAATCTGTGTTTCAAATGTGGTTGATAATCTGTATCCCAGGTTGATTAATGTGGTTCACTAATCTGACTTCACTAGTAAGTGCCAGGTGATTGACTTTCAGCCTGTTGTATTTGCATTCAAGTTCCTTTTGTGTTATCAGTTATTTTTAAAGACTTCTGTATCCTACTTCTTGAAGTTTTCTTTTTTTTCTTTTTTTTTTTTGAGTTGGAGTCTCACTTTGTCGCCCAGACAGGAGTGCAGTGGCCGCTCCCGGCCACCGCAGCCTTGACCTGCAGGGCCCCGGCAATCCTTCCGCCTCAGCTTCCCAAGTAGCTGGAACTACAGGAGCCTGCTACCACACCTGGCTAATTTTTTTGATTTTATTGTAGAGATGAGGTCTCGCCAAGTTGCCCAGGTGGGTCTCGAACCCACGGACTCAGGCAATCCACTCACCTCGGCCTCCCAAAGGCACGGGATTACAGGCTGAACCCCAAGCCTGGCCTTTCTTAAGGTTTTCAATCGTTCTTTGCTGCCGTCTTTCTGATGAAGCCAGTCCAAGTTTTTCATGGGTTTTCATTTTCTGCAAAGATGCCACTTTTGTGAACTGATATCTATGGAGAGGGTATTGAAATTCCTAAAGATGCTCAAGTCCGGTGGCTCAGCCTGTCATCCCAGCACTTTGGAAGGCCGAGGCAAGTGGATTGCCTGAGCCTGTGGGTTCGAGACCAGCCCAGGCAACTTGGTGAGACCTTGTCTCTACAATAAAATAAAATAAAAAATTACCTGGCCGTTGGTAGCACGCGCCTGTAATTCCGGCTACTTGGAAGGCTAAAGCAGATGGATCGCCAGAGCCTAGCAGGTCGATGCTAGGGGGGCCATCAGTCTGGGTGACAGAGTGAGACTCCAGTCAAAAAAAAAAAAGTTACTCAAGAACAGCTGACAGTATCCTTTGATGTTGGGTACCTATGTTTTATGTTAGCTGTCTTGTAATCCATTGCATTAGTCAGCAGTATCATGGAATGTAGAGTTGCCGTGTTTGCTTGTGGGGAGTGACAATAAAATACAATCCAAGATAGAAATCCCATGGGGTCTTTTGCAGTTTAATCTCTAGCCTCTTTGGGGCATTTCTAGCTAGCACTTTGATGCCCTTTTTTTTTACTTTGTCTTAGAAACCAGTGAGGTATCCTGCTTTTTTCTCCTTTCTCAGTTGCCACCACCTACCCTGTCTCTAACAGTTCCTCCCTTCCTAAGACTACCTCGCCCCCAAAAAGCTGATTCCCACCCCTAGCTTCATAGCCCTCGATAGCAGCCAACCCTAGCCACAAGGGGACAAGCAGAAGATAACAACATAATAACTGCAGGGACTAACACAATGTCAGAGGTCCCTCTGAAGGCTTTTTCGTCAAATTTTCCCAAAGAGTGAAGTGCGGTTTTCGTTGCTCTGTTGATTTACAAGTGGCACAGAGATACTGCAAAGGAGATAAAATGAATATCCATGACACAACCCCAACCTTCAGACCATCTGAACTGTGAGATGTACTAGGTGTATGAAGCCTGGTGAGATCAGAGCGCCTCAAACTTGCCTGGGAAAGGTTTGCAGGGCCCTTGGGACTGTGACCTGGGAAGGCACTTGTCGCTGCCTTTGAAGGTCTGCATCGGGTTTTCACCTGAAGCTTTCACATGGTGCTTTCGATGATAGGAGAAGCAAGTTTGAGGTTTGCGTTGTTACTGTTTCCAGCTTCAGGCTTCATTTCTTCTGTTATTGCTGGGCCCATCCCTAACAATTACAGGGCCTGAGATGCGAGTACAGGTGGAGTCCACATACCACACATCTAAATATTTAGAGGTTATAAATCAAGCTAGCAAAATGGTGAAATAAAATATGTTCTGTCCTCCCACGGTGACCCATATACCTTCATAATGACAAAATTTAAAAATACATGTAAAGTTATGGGTTTTTTTATGACTGAAAGCCAGGAAATATCAAAAAATGACTAATTATTATTATGCATGTCTGAATATTCTGTTCATAGGCCAGAGATATTATATATAAATCACAGATTGTTATATATTACTTCCATAAAACATGTTTTTTGTCTTCATTTTAGCAAAATGCCTCCCTAAGTTGTTTTATACAAGACTTTAACAGTGTGCAGTCTGCTGATAATGATGCTATCTTAGACACACCTTTCTGAATCATTGTAATTCCTAGTTTTTAAAATGAATTTTAATTTGGAAAAACTTTATTTCCCTGAACCAGTAGTAACTATAGTTATCAATAAAATTCCTAAAGCAAAATTTCAATTTGAAAATGAACTAAGAATTTTATGTACCATGATCAAACATAGAAACGGAATCATATATGAAAGTAATCTTTATGATAGACTATATTACAAAATATTGTAATTTCATTATATACGTCAGTGTCATGCTTCACACATTATCCTAGGTATGTACAAATTGAAGAATAATATGAATTGTTTGAAGTATTCATTTCCTGGGGCTTCTGTAACAACATACCACAAACTGTATGGCTAAACCACAGAAATTTAGTATCTCACAATTCTGGAGACTGGAAGTCCGAGATCAAGGTGTCTGTTGGGTAGGTTCCTGCTGAGGACTGTGAGAAAGGATTTCTCTCTTCTGGAAATTGTCTGCATTTTTTTGATATTCATTGGCTTGTGAATGCATCATCCTGACCTCTGCCTTGATGTTGACATGCCACAGGTCATATTGGATTAGAACCCACCCTGATGACCTCATTTTAATTCCTTTACTTCTGTAAAGACCCTGTTTCCAAATAAAGTCACGTTGTGAGGTACTGGGGATTAAGACTCCAGCATACCAATTTGCAGGGCCCAGTTCAACCCATAACCGAAAATCTTGCCAGCCACTGTGAAACTCTTGCAAATATTATTCTAATTTGTGAGAGCTTTCGGAGCATTGATTGGAATACGAAAAAAGTGGATGCTTGGTAATGTTGGGAATGATGGTTTCTTGTGCAGAGATCTATTGCATTCACACTGGGAGGACAAATTTGACAAGTTGGTTAATTTATCTTTTTTTCTACTACAGTGTGTTGACCGCTGCAGTCCTTCCTGTGCGCTGTGTCTATCTTCTCTGCTGGCAGAGCAACCCAAAAAAACCTTCCTCGTACACAATCATGGCCACTTTCTGTTCCAAGGACAGAGGGCACAAGGTGTAGAGAAGCATCCCCTGGGTCAGAACAGTGCTAGTCACAGGAACGGATGTTCAAGGTTATGGGTACACTGCACCAGCACTGATTCTAAGAAGCAGAGGGTCCCGTGTGTACGCTTTTCTGTTTTCTAAATAGAGATGTGGGATACAAGCCTGGATTAGCTACACAAGTAGGCTGCGTGCAGGTAAAGTCTGGGCCTCCACCTGGTTTTCACTTCCCCTGGTTTAGGACCGGTACCCTTTGCGATGTTACATGCCCCCTCCCCTTCCCTGGCAGTGTCTGGTGACTGTTGATCCCTCCCTTGTGCTAATGTGATTAATGTTCAGGTCTCACTTGTGAGTGAGAACATGCAGTATTCCCGTTCTTTGTTTCTACACATGTACTCTTTATTCTTATTACTTGTGTTCTCTGTGTGTTTTCTCATATATAGGCCCAGGGCAGGGATCGCTCCCTTTTTTAATTAAATCATTTTTACTGAGATATATTTCACTATAAAATTCACTAAAGTGTTCAAGTCAATGTTTTTATTATATTCAG